CCTCCCCTCCTCCTTTTGCCTGGAAACGCCAGGATTCCCAAACTGGCATTGGACAGCAGACAGATCCACCAAGAGGGAAACTAAACGCTTGCCCTATTAGAAAGGGGAATGCTTTTCCTCCCAGGAATTGAACCCAGGCCTCCTAGCCTTGAACTTGGCCCTCTCTGCTCGGAGCTTTTCCCTCTCCCCTGCTCCCGTCCCTCCCTTGCAGTTTTACAGGCGTGAATGTCTCTCTCTGCCCAGCAGCGCCTGGCATCGGTGCCCCTTGGGCCTTTGAAAAGCAGATCAGGAAGTGGCTGGTGAAACCCAGAAGCCTTTAGCTTTGATGAGTGGTGGGCCTTTTCTTCCAGATTCAGAGGAGGGCCACCTCTTGCAAATTGAAACTATTAGCTGGGAAGGAAATAAATAAGTGTGGTTCTTCGGATACTTTTCACAAAAGGCATTGGGTTTTGATCAAGCAATGAAAGTCCCTTGCTTTTTTTTTCTTTTAAACATGCTGTAGTATAACTCTCTCTCTCTCTCTCTCTCTCTTTCTCTCTCTTTTTTGCTTTTGTATATTTAATCATTGTGAATTATAAGCCGTGTGAAAGATTTTAGCTCTGGGGCATTTGCCAGATGGTTGATTCTGCTTTTTTTCGCACAACAAAAGACATAATGTTTGTGGCAAGCCCTGAGAAATTGTTGGTAATCAGTGTATTCTTCAAAGAACGGGCGCCAGACCTGTTTGCAAGAATGTTCGGTTTATGCAGAAATTAATCGTGAGCATTTTTAGTCTCTGCTCCTGGGCATGGAACAAAACAAATTGTGTCAATTGTGTGCTGGTTTCCATCACGCAGCCATCTGAATGGCAGAGATGGGATGGGTGAGTGACTTTTTTTTTCCTCCAAAATAATATATTTTGTTGTCAATTCATGGATCGATGCAGCCATTTCGTCAGAAATCGTGGCTTGGTGATAGCTTCCTTAGACTAACTCAGAGGATCTGGTGGGAGCGTTTCATCAAGGAGCCTTTTGGGGGGAGAGTGATCCCTTGTATAGCCATGCTCTTAAGAGCTTTTAATTGGCAACGCTAAAGATTGGATGAGGAGTCAGAAGGAAATGCATATAGCTCGGTACCGGAGGCTTCGGATACACAAAATCTTTTGAGCTCTGGTCTCCAGCATCGAGAATGCCAAGTAAGATAGATCTGAGGTGGCTTTCTCTGCTCTTATTTAATTCAGCCCTGGATGCTTGGTTGACGTTTAGAGGAAGGACAGTAAGTAGCTTGGTGGCAGGATTCCCAGTCGGACTAGGAAAGATTCTCCTGCGTGAGCCTGCCGTGCTCCTGTCAGTCTCTTGGAGCAAGAAGAGCCGCAGTCTCACCCAAGGGCTGTGGTTATAAAATAGGCCAGGCCAGGCCAGGCCAGGCCAGGAGGCCATTTCCTACATTCCGGTGACTTTTTGCCTGCTTTGCCAAACACGAGTTGCTCCCCGCCAGTTTTGGCCAGCAGCCTGTCTTGGCAACGCTGTGTCCCGTAACGTAGCGCATCTCTAGGCATCCGGTTGGGGAAGGCAGTGATCTGTGCAGAAATGAAATGGCCAGGGCTCTGGGCCAGGGCTCCGAACCGTGCCTCCCCAAAGGCACCCTCCACGCAAGTCACGTAGCAGCCCAAAACATGAGCCTTTCCTTCCTTGTCTTCTCCCGTCTCCCCAGGTCGCTTGTCTTCTCAGCAGCAAGTCTTGCCCCTTAAAGACTTGCCCCTCCCCGACAGGCCCAGGGCTCCCTCCTTCATCTATCTTGCAGGACTACAGTACCCAGCTGCCAAAAGTTTCCAACCCCTTGCAGAATTCACTGTCCCCATTCCCTGCTCTCGGCTCCCTTGTGAAGGAAAGTACCCACACCCCGCTACCTGGCCATAGATGGCCACTGGGGGCTCGCCAGGAGGAACTGGCCACAGCTGCACACCAGCGGCTGGGCATCCAGGGTGCCAGTTCTTCTGCCCCAGCATTTCCACCTTAAAGCCCCCCTACCCTTTCAACAGACTGGGGAGGACCTCAACCAGGGCCCTTGGGAGCCCCGCCCAGCTGGGAGTCCACGCCTTGACAGCAGCTTCATGGCAGGGCCCCCCGATCTTTGGCGCGGAGCTCACTCTTGTGGTTCCAGGCCCTAAAATAATTACTGCTCTGAAACCTGCAAAGACTTAATTCCCAACTCCTTGCTTGCCAAGAATAACAAGCAGTGTTTGGGTTTAGCTCTCCGCTGCGGATACTTAGAGGATTGTTCTGCAAGTCACCTCGGAGCTTGTGGTCAACTGTGCTGCGTAACATTAACAAACAGATAATTTCAATCTCGGCTGGAAAGTTCCTTTTAATGGGCAATTTGTAATTGCACGAGTTAAATGGAAACCAGCAGCTAAGATGTCACTCGTGGTGGCAAAGGGTGATGGAGAGCTTTCGGGTTTGCAATTATCATGGAAATCACAGGCGTGGCCAGGCCAGAGAAGGTTTTTCAAGAGTGTTTATTCTGGAACAGAGAAATCCTGGCATTTTTCAGGTCTGTTCAGAACAAGGTTGCCATATTGTTCTTCCCAAAGCAAGGACGAGGAGAGTTACAGCAACAGGGCTACACCCAGGATTACATACTCTCCTGTAGAAACTATGGGAGGGAGACTAAATCCTGAAACAGTCTTTGCTCCGTACTGTCAACAGGCATCCAAGATATGCTGCGGGTTGTACGGGACCCTCGGCAACATATCTTGGATGCCTGTTGACAGTAGGGTCCGAGGGTCCCGTACACCCCGCAGCAGATTTGGAGGTGGGAGGTTAGGAATCCAGCGTGTGTCTTGGTGAAGATGTTGGACGAGGAGGGAAGAAAGCAAGCAAGTAGAGGTGTTTTCCCACATGGAAGTCTCTCAGGGAGAAATGGGGGGCCTTTGATTAGGGCTTGAGGGACAGTGCTAAAAATTAAGCTTGACTCCATCGATGGTTCATTGAAACTGAATTAAGTACAGTAAATATGGATTCTCCCCATGTACTCAGTGCGTTCTGTCTTAAAGTTAGCTAGGGGTCAGTCTGTGGTGGCTTGGGGGACAGCAGGCAAGCAAGCGGTTGAGGGCCACTCAAGTCCCAGGCCCCCATTTAAAGCTGGGGCCCTCCAGAGCAACTCACGAGCTGCTTGCAGAGTTTCAGGGGACGGTGCCAGCGAGGCACTGCTCCGGGGCTGCCCTTCGGTCGGCTCTGCAGAGTTGCTGGCTCTGAGGGTGCCAGGCCTCCATCTCGCAGGGCACCCGGGGAAGAGCAGAAAACGTGCAGCGGCTACCAGGAGCCGCCTTCTCCTGCCCTTCCTTGGGTTGGCACACAGGGGAGCGAAGAATCCAGGGTGCCTTTGCCACTCTGGGCACCAGCAGGAGCGGCCTGCCGGTGGCCCCTTCCTTACTTCCTTCCTCCGGTCCAAAGGCGCCTGCCCTCCTCCAGCGCAAACTGGGGCTGCTGAAAAGGGGCGACGTAAAAAGAATGAACTTAATCGAGTCCCGATGGGATCCTTACCCGCACTGCAGAGCGCCTTAATTGCACCAGGGTGATAATTTCTAGTTGATTAAAGAGTATTTGT